CAAGGAGCAGCTGGTGGATTTGAACTGCCAACCTTTTTTTGGCTCGCAGCTGTAACACGCCATGGCTCTTAACCACTGTGCCACCAGGGCCCCACATTCCTAATCTCTAGGACCAAGCAGAAAATGAGAACACATGGCCAGACATTCACCCACATCCCTGACCAGAAGGCAGCACCACCAAGGAGCCCCCAGCTACAGTCAAGTCTGCACAGCACTGCAGAACTCATAGGGTGGGAAGTGAAATGGTAGCTAACCAAGCCAATCTACCTGGAAAATAGCAAAAACAAATTATTCAGTATAACATTTAGCCAGAATCAACTCTAAATTTCAGCAAGGAACTTCCACTGAAGTCACTAAGGTCCAAGGGATGTGTGTGTTTGGAGGGGCTCACTGGTTCACTTCAGGATCCTATAAGTCAGCTTTGCTCTTTTTGCCAAGACTTCCAAATTCCTCTTCCCCAAACTAGCTAACAGAAGAAACAAAACCACCCACTCCCTAGAAAAGGGACAGCAATCTTCTCCCTCACCCCTTGCGACAGAAGCAGGGTGAGCAGTGACAGGCTCGCTTTCTCCAGGAGCCCTCTCTCTTGTGGTTTCTGAGGCCCAGAGGTGGGTGGGTCTGAAACCATTGCAGCCCCTCTCCCAGGTGTCACATAGACTCTAGTCAGCGGCAGGTCAATTTCTGAAGCTTGGACCCTCTCCACACTTGCCTGCTATTGCTGCTGCTGGCTGGAAGACAGACAGTCATCGTGCTGATTGCTTTCATGAATGCCAAGCTTCCAGTCCAGCAGAGCCATTTGGAAAAGAAGCAAACAGAAAGCTCAGCTCACAGATGAAGAATCCCCTTAACTACCAGCCTGGGGTCAGAACACCCCTTCTGCAAAAGGAAGAAGAGCCTATGGCTATGAAAAAGCATATCCAGAATCAGGTGTCACAGAAATATCTTAAAAACATGCCTTGACTCTCTTTTATACTATCGCTGTTGACAGCAGAGTCGACAGCAAACAGGCAATCTCCCTGCAACACAAGGTTTATTTTTATGCTTCACCATTTTCTGTGTTTGTGTGTGTGTATGTGTTTAATTCAGATGTGATCAAAGAGCTCCTGGGAAGAGCTTCTCCTCAGCCACATTTTTAAAGAAAATGAGAAAGGAAGAGCAAGAAAAGAGACCAGAGTTTGAAAACAACCAGTGGAGCGTATTTACCTATTTCTGGTGAAACCAGTCTAAGTAGTTTAAATCTAAATAAGGCAATAGAGGACCTTTGGGGTAAGGAATCAATGCAACCAAATCTCTTGCTTTTTATTTCATAACATTAAGGCTGAGGAGAAGAAGCCTTCTCAGTGCAACACTGAGTTTCCATGACAATTTTAGCTAGAATCACAACAGCACCAAAGGTTTCTTGCTCTCACCTGGTGGCATGATCTATACTTATGGAAGCCAATGCTTCTGGCATCCCTGGCCTTGTGTCCAGAGCAGCTGCTGCTAGTCTTTCCTCTTGTTTTAAAGAACACTAGCAATGACATTTACATTTAGTAAGCAGCACAAAGAAACCACATTGCGGCAGTCTGCTACTCTCCTCTGCTGAACACAATGCCCCACAGCCTTGTGGATAGAGGAGGCACTCAATCTCCACTCCCCACATGCCTGAGGGTGCCCGTCAGTCACCTGGCCTCCTCCTACCAACTCATAATCAACAGTCTGGGAAAGTTCTCTGGTAAAGCAGAGACAACCTGCTAAAACAAAGGTTGTGAGAGAGGGCCTAGAGAAAGTGGTTCCCAGTAGGGAGAGAGAAACAGCTGGCAGGCAGGCGAGGGGAGAAAGACTGTGAGATGCGGACCGTGCCCTTCTGTTTCCAAAGCCCTCAGTCCCATGCAGAACCAGCTGCCAAACCCAGTGAGGAAATGGAAACCAACCATCCCTCCCTCTCAGCCCCTATTTCCTCCCAAAAGCAACCAATCCATCAGTAATAAAACGGTCAACCACTGCAGAGAAAAATCCTGTCCGGAACTCCAGAACTCCTCTTGAGTTCTTAACTGCCCAGCTGACAAGAGAGTGAGGTGGCAGGTAACCAAATAGGCAAGTGTGAAAAACATGAAAAAAGAAAAGATGTTAAATAGGCAAGAGAACATAACAGTGGCTCTATCAGAAAATGAAGAAAGAAAGAAGAGGGAAACATTAAGGAGCTGATGAGGGGAAAGGATGCAAAAAGCACTGCAGCCCCCAGGGAGCAGAGCTCCTCTCTCTAGTCAAGTTTTTTGGCCTAGTAAAAGTTCTCCACAAGAAGAGTGTGACAGGCGGGAGAGTCTCCACAGAGCAGTTAACAAGGACAACTGGAGATGGCAAAAGAAGTGGAGGGGGGCGGGTAGAAAGTGGACGCCTCTCAGCTCAGAGGTGAGATGACACAGAAAAGGCTATGGCTTGGGTAACAATCGACAGCAGTGACTGCCGGGAGGAGGGGGGACATGTGGGGTCCTGAGGCTGAGGTGCAGGTAAAGAAACCAGCATGCAGAATTCCTGGACTGGGAGTTACAAAGATCAGCCAATAAGAAAGGGATGCAGAGAGGCACATGTGGGAAAAACAAATATGACGTGAAGAAGGCAAGAGACTGACATGGAGATGAAAGGCAACGCTGATTAAGAGGCATAATAAGGAGGCATGGGGTGAACAGCGAAACAGGAAGGCCACGAGCAAGCAGTAAGATACTATGAGAAGGGACGGGCACAGGGGGGAAGAGACAGGAAGGCATCATGGTTTGTGTTGCTGTGTATGACAACGCAAGGCCAGGCCGGTGATGCGGCACGGAAAGGACTGAGCAACAAGTTGTGTTAATACAGTGGGACTGAGACAGCGAGTGTCTCTCCGCCGGTAGGAAAAGCCCAGGGAGAAGGCTGGTAAAACACTCCCAGGGAGGGAAGAGGAGGCAGGGGAGCAGAAAAGCCTAACCCCGGGGAGGAGAACAGGAGGTATCCAAAGACTCACAAGGGAGTGATCACTGGAGCCCCAAAGACAACCTGTGGGAAAACTATGCGCATGACAGCTGCATGGGAAACACGGAAGCAACAAATGCCAGCGCCAGGAACCAGGGCGCTCCAAGAGAAAAGAAGGGAAAGTGATGAGCAAAGAGTAGGCGAACGATTTGGAAAGGTGATGAGGGTGGAGCTGGTGGGCTGCAGCCAAGAGGGAGTGCACAATTTGGAGAAGGAAGCAGCAGGGCAGAAAAAGCTGGGGAACTGAAAGGGGACAGGGATCGGAACACACTCCGGGGCAAGGACCCTGAGGGCGAGAACGGGGGACTGGGAGAACCGGTGCGGGCAGGGGGAAGCCAGGCTAGAGAGATGGAAGAAGAAGAGGTGGACAACGATCTGTGACAAATCGCGGGGTGCTATTCGAGGAGCAGGAGGGTGGCTGCTTTATGCCTGGGTGGAGGAAGACCAGAAAGGCCCCTGAAAGAAAAAGGGAAGAGAAAGGGAAGCTGGGGAGGTGACACGGAAGAGCGCAGGAAGGCGGTGAGAGGAGAGGGGGCCTGGCAGAAAGACAAGTGTGCAGCCTGGAGTCAGGACGAGGTGGGTCCCAGGACAGGACTCGGAAGGGGGATGTGCGGGGCCGGGAGCGAGATGACAGGGCAGCCGAGCTTGCAGGATGGCAGAGAAGAGCAGAGGAGGAAGGAGGCTCCGTAAGGTGCAGGGGCCCAGCCAGAGAATTCGGGGAGCCCTCGGGGCTCCTTACCTGCTCCGTGTCCCTCTCGTTCAGCGTGGGTAGGGGGGTCCGGGCGCTGGACATGGCGCCGGTATCTCAGGGGAAGGAACCGAGAAGCTTGGAGAAAGGGAGGGAAGGGAAGGCGCGGAGCCCGGCCGGGCGGGGCTTCTCACAGCAGGGGCACCCGCCGCATGGGCCCCGGCCGGGGGTGCGGGGAGGCCGGGCAGCTGCTCACGCCAGCCCGGGGATGCGCCGCTCGGGCTAGGCCGCGCCGGCTCCGAGCGGCTCCGGACCGCACCCCCCCCGACCCCCGGCTGGGCTGTGCTGCCTTTCGGCCGGGCCGCGCCGCTCCGCCTACTCTCTGCCACCGCAGCCGGCCGCCTGCCTCGCTCCTCCCCTGCCCTCAGCGGCACTGCTCCGCGCCCGGCACACAGGCAGCCGCCGCCGGACCTGCTGCTCCCAACATGGCCGCCACCACCGCCGGCCCTCGGCTCTTTCCGCCGGCAGCAGCCGGAAACATCCGAAGCGACTAGGAACGGGACGGGGGCGGGCCTCCTCCTCCCAGCCACCGACTACGGGTGCGTTCCGGAAACACCCGAAGAAGGTAAGGCTCCGGGGCACGCGCGCCTCTTCGATTCCGAAGCCTAAGCTTCGGCTCTGTTTACGGAAATCCGCGAAGAGACTCCAGGCACCCCAGAGCCATCCAACCACGCCCACCGGCCTTTCCCCGCCCACTTCAAACTGGCGCTCGGTAGTTTCCGGAAACACCCGAAGCGGCTCCGCGTGCGGGGAGTCGGCCACGCCCCCGTCCCGCCCCTCTGTGGAGGGCGGTCGTCGGTCATTTCCGGCAACACCCGAGGCCCGGCGAAATCCCCGTCGTTCTCCCGGGTGGTGCTCAGAGACTGACTCGTCGTTTCTTTCCGTCAGTTTTCGGGTATTTTCAAAGCTTGAACAACGAGCGGGGGCACTAGTGCGCGTTTATTATTTGACTAAATAGAAATAAGGCTGTTAGTCGTTCCTGCGATTGTCCCGTCTGCATGTCCGTTCGTCCG